TTCATAGCTCTTTTGTAATACAATTTTTATTCACAATCCCGGCATATAAGAAACATTTACATAATAAGAACAAAAAGATGGAAAAATCATTTTACATAGTTTTCGGAGTAAGTACTTTCTCTGAAAAGTTTCCTCACTCTATCATCTGATCGTCCCCACTTTAGTACACTTTAACGGAACGAACCGATTTATTTTTGATACAGGGGCATTATTTCTGCCACTATGTGGTGTTACAATGGCAATAGGCGTATCTGGTGGGTGGTTAGCTGAGCGCGCTACCATTTCGCAGGGCCTGGGTTCAAGCCCCGATTCGGATATTAAAAAAAAAAAAATCATAAACAAGTTTTTTCTAATAGAGGTCGCACCTTGGCAGGCAATGGCAAACCTCCGAGTGTATTTTTGCCATGAATAAGCTTCCCAGCCAGTAGAGAAACGTAAATTTTAAAGACAGTGCGGTCTCGCACAGTTTTCTGTTTATGGAAACGACTACCTTTTTCAACAATTTTATTGAGCTTGACGAAGATTTTATTGACAACTCTTTGCGGAGAAAACAACATTAGTTTACAAACGGAAGAAAATATAGCTAATATTTCGGAGATCACCACATCTCCTCATCAGACTTTTTTCATCAAGTAGTCGGCAGTGGCTGAGCGTGTGGAGGAGCGTACCACTATTTGTTAGCATCTAGAAAGTGCCGGGTTCGAATCCCTTAGGTGCGTCCTACTTTTTTTTTTAACAATAAAAAAGCTTCCGTGAAGTGTAGATGCAAAGCGTGTTGAACGAAAAATTCAATCAAACAAATTTCAGAGAAAAACAGCAAAAAACATCTCCGTTTCACAACCATTTTCGGTACTTGTCGGTACATGTGTACGTTTCTGCCGCACACTTTAGTGGGAAAACGGACCGTCAAAGGAAGCGGTAAACGTACAAAAATCGCATTTCATTCACTTTTTGTCTTTTTTTGGATGAATTTTCGGATTTTTTGCTGGCTCGGTTCTCATAAAAATACAATCGCCGTTCGGAGTCGGCGTAAAACTGTAGGTTCCTCCCCATTTTGTGACAACATCAAGGCGCAGAGTCAAATCGGATATCTGGAGGTTCAGAGTTATGAAATGCGCCCGACTAACCCTAAGATTTTCTTAATTCTCAATTGAACGCCAAACAAATTTGTTTCCAATTTTCCAATTTTAACTTTACAAAAAATGAGTTAGGTACCTACAAGACCTATTGAAAAGGTAGCAGCAACGGAGGAGTGAATTTGATTTTTTTCGGGCACTTAGTCTCAGAATGATAATTTTTGGTTATAAACAAACATTTTGCTCTAAAATATTAAATTTTATTTAAATCCTTTGACATTTAAGAGTACAAAATTAATAACAAAATACGGCGTTTTTTTGTTGATATTCAGAAATACCCAGCTTCGACATAACGATAACTATATATGCATTTAAATTAAAAAAGACTGATGAAGCACTCGGCCGCTCTTAGATTTCTTCACTTATTTATAAATGTCGTATGCAATCTGTTCTAATGACAACGGAATCAAAACTAACAGGAAGCTGTCATTTATTGCGAATTGTACTTGCTTTACTTTAATTAAGCAAGCAAGCTCGTGCAACAAGTCTCACCATTAATTAGTCACAATTTTGATTTTCCGCTTTCTTTGCATTTGCCTTAGCAGATAGTTAATTGACAAATGACATAAGCGTTTGAAAATGTAACAGTTGCTAACCGATGGAAAATATTTTGTTCATTTTAGTATAGCCCCTCGGTAGTCAACCTAATACATAGATAAGTACATATCTACATTAGGGTGGTCCAAATGTACACAGGAATATTAACTTTTCGGAATTTCTTTGCTGCAACGTCCAGGATTATAGAAAATGCCTTTTATAAGCTTTTATTTAACTTCACTTGTATGTAAATATGTACATACGTACATTTGTATGTAGGTCGTGGAATTTTGCAACAAATATTTCACTAACTCAATGAGCTTGAGACTTGAAACTTCAAACTAAGCTCATAAACCAATGACAATGCAGTATGAAATAATCTGCTTGCTGGCGCAGGAGTCGAGACATTTGGAAAATCGTATTTATAGTCTAATTTTGCCGATAGGTGGCGCAGAAGTACTTAAAAAGCTTGCTTAACACCCTAATGTCGTACATACCCTGTAAACCAAAGTTCCTGAAATATTAACAAAATCATAAAGAGTATCGGAAATTTGTTTAGAATTTTGTAACGATTTCTTTACGAATTTTGAAAGAAAATCATTCTGTTCCTACTTTCTTAAAAAAAGTTCTGCAAAAATTCTTTGCATCACAGCATTATTTTTTTATTGCTTTTCAAAGTGTGCCAGTATATTTCATCTTAGAAAATTTGGCAAAAAATCGGAAAGACAAACAATGATTTCTATACGAATTCTTTAAGAGTTCTCTACTTTTCAAAGTATTCCGAAAACAGGGTTTGCAGGGTAAATACATTCATACATCATATTAAAAGCTTACGAAGTAATTTTATTTTTTTTTCTTCGAGGGACTTCTTTTTATATTTTAAATTTCTTTGTTATGGTCTTGAGAAGACAATTTTGTTTTGTTCCAAAGTGCATTGGCCCAAGTTTCCCGTTCTAGTACTTACTCAACAGATCTCAGTTCCTACCACGCTAACGTACAACCCTAATGTGAGAAAATTAAAGCTCACCAAAAATCATAAACTTTTGCTAACGAAGTTTGAAATTTCCCATGTATGTATTTTACATGGGGAAAAAATTTTTTTCGTAGAATTGCTATAAAATAAACGGCACGGCTAAATATTATCGATTTCAAAATAAAAAAATACGTGTCTCCTTATTTTTGATATTCTTTAGATCTGGGGGTGGCTGGAGGTAAAATTTTTTGGGCCACCCTAATATACATACATAGCCAAAAATTTGTCGATTCTGCTGTATAAATAGATAAAATATTATCTAAGTTAAAACATTGGAAATTTTTAATACCATTTTAAATAAACATTTTTTATAAGATCCTTAAATGAAAGAAAGTTCATGAATTCAATATTTTTTTTTATTTTCAGATGAGCGGGAAACGTTCACGTAGCTTTAAATGTGCAGTTCATCATCGTGATCGCGAGGTTTGTTCCGAAAATGACTTCCATCTTGTACTAGAAGAACCGCCATTCTTTAAGAAAATGGTGCACGTCGTTGCCATGGAAATACTGCCCGAAGAACGTGATCGCAAATATTATGCCGATCGTTATTCATGTTGTCCCCCGCCTTTATTCATTATACTAATGACAATCATAGAGGTAAGTAGGTCGTTATTATTTAGATGCTCACAGCCATCCCTAAATTGGAGCGCTAAGCGTTGCGTTTTCCAACGTCAGTGCGTTATCCCTAAAGAAACGAGTATTTTTTCTTTCTTTCATAAAAACTGTATGTGCATTAAGATTTTTGACAGTTCCCTGATGCTTGATGCACCAATTTAAAGATGGCTATTAAACCTTTTGCGATCTTATAATAGTAAATACATACTATGAATGTACATTAGGGTGGTTCAAAATAAGTAAAGTAGGATTTTTAATGCTCTCACCCCCTAGAATTGTTCCATATCGAAAAAAAACATTTCCCACTATTTTTTCATTTTGAAATTAATAAATATTTGGAGGTCCCTTCAGGCCTCAAAGTTTTCCATTTTTTTAAATGGGAAAAACCACAATTCGTAGAAATTGTATAGAAGCTAGAAAAATAATATTTTTCGATCTGGAAAACCCAATTGTTTATTTAACCATTTTTTAATATTAAAGATTTTGTTTTTTAATTTTTGCTTCAACGAATCATGTTTGCACGGTATATGGTGAAATGGGAAAAGTACTTAGGTTTGAAGTATGTTTGACAAGCCACTTCTGTGGTGTGGAGGGACCTACAATTTTACGCCGGCTCCGAAAAGCGATTGTATTTTTATGAGAAGCTGTTTTTCATGGCAGAAATACACTCGGAGGTTTGCCATTGCCCACCGCTATTAAAAAAAATACCTTTTTTTATTTTTAATTTTTTGATGTTGGGTTGAACCGGGCTTCAGCCCAGGTCCTGCGGAATGGTAGGGCGCACTGCTAATCACAAAAACATAGCGGCCGCCACACAATTTAAATGGATTAAATTTTTCTGACTTTGGAATCTAAAAGTTCAATCTTTAAGCTTTCATGTTATAACATTCAAAAGATTGTATTCCACGTCTACATACATATATCTTCCTATAGGAGTTAAAAAAGTCAAAAACCCGTTTTTCCCCAAATATCTCAAAAACTAGAGCCAATTGAATAACTTCAATGTCAGATTCTGATTCAAGGAAAAAAACACCAAGGAATGTAAATTTTAAATCCAACCCAATTTCTTAAAATTTCCCCAAGCGAATCAGAAATTCGGCATTTTTATGGCTTCAGCCTTTAGTAATAGCATAACATAATCACTAATTAAACTGCAAAATTTTATTATGAATTACAATTACTTAAATATTTACATATGTACTCGCTTTAAGTGTTCTGTGAGTCTTAATTAAAAAAAAAAAAAATATTTCAAAATTGTAATAAAAATATTCGAATGTATGGATCGGAATTACTAATGATTTGCTTAAGTATTATGCGATTGAAAAGTGCTGGCAAACTACGTTGGGAAAGCGGCGTGGACGTCTTTTGAACTTTGTTTTACGTGTATTACTAATTTATGTATGCATGCCAATATTACCTATTATTTTTAATTTATTTACCTGTATAAGTATGGATGTATGAACGTGTGTTAAACTTAAGTGGTAGCATACACTGTCCTATATTAGAAAGTCGTAAAATTTTTGGATTTTTTAGATTGTTTAGTCAGAAGCCAACACCACTTTTCATCGACTTTTTTCAAAGTTTTTTAAAGACAAGTCGGCAATACCAAAATAAAGAAAAGTCAATACCCAGAGCACGGCATATCAAACAGGTAGTAGCATTAGAGCAAAAACAACATTTGTGTGTATTTTGCTGTTGCTTCTGGTATCGCAAGTGTCAACAACTGTTCTGAATTTTTTCTTCTAAATCAAAGCATGCCATGTGAAATACAAAAAATAAAAAAAAATTTAAATTGGAAAAAATAAAAATTTTTCCAACTTTCTTTCTTTCTTTCTTTTCGAAGCATTGATCCATATTTTGCGAGGCCCAGTAATCAGCGGTTGTGCTGCTGAGTTTGGCGAGCGTTCTAAAAGCTGCTATTCAATCGCTTGATTTGTATGGAAAAAGGTTTCACATACAAATAGATTTTAACAATTTAGAATTTCTGTGAGAAGAAATTAAAAATATTCGACATTTTCGAGACCAAATATTTTGAAAAAAATAAAATCAGCTGCTATACTGATACTACCTGTTCAATGTGCCTTGACCCAGAGTAAGTTGAAAATACCGTATTTGTGGTAGCGAAAGGGTGTTTTTTTTTAGATATGTAGAACTTTAAATTGAGTAATAATTTCAAGTTGAAATTTAACTATATTACAAAGAAGTAAAATGCTGCACCTTTTTTCGAGTAATGGGGCCGTATCTCGGAAATGGTTTATACATACATAAATCAATATCTTCGAGTAACCGCAGAGAAAATAATCGAGTGGTGTTGAATCGCACGATCTCGGTAGCCAATTGAGTGTCCCATTTCACCAAATGTTTGCTTTAACAGGTCGATTGTTTCACCCGTTTTTGGCATGTGGCGCGGTTCATTCGGTAAAACATGTCTTCAGTCGAATTTCCATTCAATTGGGGCATGAAATAATCGGTAATCATGGCTGTATAGCGCTCGACGTTGGCGGTAACAATTTCGTCATTCGCATTTAAAAAAAAAAAGTTAGGATCATCGATTTCACCGGCCCATAAAGCACACCAATCATTGAGCTTTTGTGAATGTAGCAGTGCCTCGAGATTTCGCGTCAATTCTCTTCACTCCAAATGTGACAATTTTTATTAGGTTTGTTCGTCGAGCAAAAAATTTGTACCAATTTGTACGAATTATCACGATTTTTGCCCAAATCGCGTTCGCGTTGTGAGAGCAAAGTGACAGTTCTCTTGGAGAGAAGTTGCAAATTCTTGCTGGAAAAAATTTTGCTAGCAAGAATTTGCAAACACGAAAAACATGTGGTTGTGGCGCATGGTTGCATTTTTTTCTACAATAATTTGAATNACATGCATATTGAGCCAAACAAGAATGATAGAATACAAGATTGCACATTCCTGCGGGTGATGACGTCAAGATAGCAACGAATAGGAAAGAATAATTGGAGATGGGGGAGAGAAAGAGGGTTAACTGTCAAACCATGGAGGGCGCCATATTTACATACATATAAACATCTCTGCATACATACAAACAGTTTGCTAAAATGACGTCACACGAACAGCTGATTCTGTCAAATTCGCCAAGAACAAAGTAGCGGTAGTGCTGATTGCGCCACCTCTTTCTCCCTACATCGTGGAGCCAAAGATGAGCCTCTTTACTTAGAGCACGGCTATGAGCTTTGATAAAAAGACTGTATTAATAGGTCTTACAGTAGTATCCGATGTAAAGTTCTATGGAATTTTTAGTGCTTTATTAATAATACGAAAGTAGTTCTAAAAAACGTATAGATACGTTATCTTTATATTGTAGGAGAGTTCATTTTGATAATTTTACTAATAGTTTGTATCCATATACATACATATCTTTCTTTCAGCTCTGCTTTTTCGCCTATCACACACTCAGCATTGGCGAAGCGGAACCAGCGGGCCCAGTTCCAATCGATTCCTTCTTCATCTACCGTCCCGATAAACGCCTTGAAGTGTGGCGTTTCATATTGTATATGGTATTACATGCCGGTTGGTTTCATCTTGGCTTTAACCTCTGTGTTCAATTACTTTTCGGCTTACCGCTAGAGATGGTGCATGGATCGGGGCGAATCGCTTGTATATACTTTTCCGGTGTATTGGCGGGTTCATTAGGTAAGTATTTGTAAAAACTAAAACGAAAAATTGACTAATGTATTCAAATTGGTCTGCATGTTCTCAGCTAAAGAGGTCTAATAAGTAAACTCGCACTTTTAGTACAGTCAATCTGGACTTAAGAAAACTCCGGAGCAGCGCAAAATGTGCCAATTGGTTCATAAACATGTTCAGAATAAAATATCCAAAATTTTCCGTCAAGGGGGATCGGAGTATTATTTAAATTAATGAAAAATTAACAAATTTTGGTCCAACTCAAATCAAAAAGATAAAAAATACTGAATTTTAGAGCAGATAATCCTCTACAAGTTCAAAACGATCCAATAGTTAGTTTTTTTTTTAATAAAAAATATTTGAATTTACTACGCATCTTGCGCCAATTATACATATCAATTTCAATTGAAAGCTTAATAGGTCTGAATTTCCTAATTTGTCAGTTGAAAAGATAAACGGAGCAGCCTTTTCAGCAACAAAATTGCAAACATCCTTTTGTTTCCACTGTACAAAAAAAAAAACCTTTTTCTCAAAGGTCACAAGCATGGCCATTTGCGGCCAACATATTTTAAGAGCTTTTTCAACTTTCATTAAAAAATAATTTTTAAGTTTTCAAAAAAAAAAACTAAAAAAAATAACACTTATAGACCCTAGAAGTACTTCCTTTTTTCTTCATTGTTCATTGTTTAACTCACTGACGACTTTGGACATCTACTAACCAGTTTTCGTTTGTTTTACAAAACCAAATTTTGGTTTGAAGTTTTCTTTATCAAATACCAAGGACAAAGAGTTTATTTTGTAAGTAAATATGAAAAACGTTTTTTTGCCACAAAAACTGATCCAACTACCCATTGACTTTATCATTTCAAAGAAAATTTAATAACATTAATCGGAGGTATCTTCTATTTCTATAACGATATCGATAAACGTACCGATGACATCCAAAAATATATCGATATTAACACCGATAACGATATCGATAAATATTTATATCGACGGCTGAGTGGTAAATCGACCTATCCCGTAATCGAACCGCTTGCCGAGATATGTCGATCTGTCGATCTGTCGATCTGTACATAAAAAGTACTTATTTTCTTCCTTTATCCCATTTTTACTTATCTTTCTACAGGCACCAGCATATTTGATCCCGAAGTGTACCTGGTTGGAGCTAGCGGCGGCGTATACGCACTACTGGCGGCACACTTGGCCAATGTGATGTTAAATTTTCATCAGATGCACTATGGCATACTGCGATTGATAGCCATTTTGATGTTCGGTAATAAAACTCATTTAAATCACTTAAAAAAAATAAATAATTATCTACATTCCACTTCCTTTTTTTAGCATCCT